GATAAAAAGATCATCTCTCGTTTCTAAAGCAACATTTAGTCTTGACAAAAGTTTCATTGATACAGTTGCTAGGATTTACTCAAATAAATTAATTTTACCTATTTATCCTTCAGTAGCGTCTAAAAAGCTTGGATAAGGGTTAATTTTCCCCTTATAATTTTGATAACACAAAATAAGTTTTTCAGACTTCTTAGATTTCGCGACGAACTGACAATTTTGTTGTACGTACCTTTCAATAACACCCTGTATAATTTTGGGGGACTTGGGTGTTCCATTTTTGGAAAATTATGACCTGACCTGTTTTTGAGTTAATTTTGGGACTCCGTTTTTTTTTTTTTTTTTAATTTAAAGCAATCTTGAGGTTCTAGGTATTCCTGTTTGGAAAGAATTTGAAACCGCTTTGAACCCTGTAGTGTTTTTTCTTATAATAATTTATTTAAATTTCTTAGGGGATACGTCATTTGCTAAAATCAGTGTTAACTTAGTAGGTACTAGCCCCGCCTACCCGCCCTCTCTTTTCTTAGAGAGTATCTCATTTGCCAAAATCACTCTTATCTTAGCAGGTACTAGCCCCGCCCACCCACTCTCTCTTTTTTTAGAAGGTATCTCATTTGCCAAACTCATTCTTACCTTAACAGGTACTAGCCCCGCCCACTCACCCTCTCTTTTCTTAAAAGGTATCTCATTTGCCAAAATCACTCTTACCTTAGCAGGTACTAGCCCCGTCCACCCACCCTCTCTTTTCTTAGAAGGTATCCCATTTGCCAAAATCACTCTTACCTTATCAGGTACTAGCCCCACCCACCCAACCTCTCTTTTCTTAAAAGGTGTCTCATTGGCAAAATCACTCATACCTTAGCAGGTACTAGCCCCGCCCACCCGCCCTCTATTTTCTTAGAAGGATCTCATTTGGCAAAATCACTATTATCTTAGCAGGTACTAGCCCCTCCCACCCACCCTCTCTTTTCTTAGAAGGTATCTCATTTGCCAAAATCACTCTTACCTTAGAAGGTACTAGCCCCGCCCGCCCACCCTCTCTTTTCTTAGATGGTATGTCATTTGCCAAAATCGGGCTTATTTTAGAAGGTACTAACCCCACCCACCCGCCCTCTATTTTCTTAGAAGGATCTCATTTGCCAAAATCACTCTTATCTTAACAGGTACTAGCCCCTCCCACCCACCCTCTCTTTTCTTAGAAGGTATCTCATTTGCCAAAATCACTCTTACCTTAGAAGATACTAGCCCCGCCCACCCACCCTCGCTTTTCTTAGATGGTATGTCATGTGCCAAAATCAGTCTTATCTTAGCAGGTAATAGCCCCGCCCACTGATCCTCTCTTTTCTTAAAGGGTATGTTATTTGCCTAAATCAGTTTTATCTTAGCAGGTACTAGCCCCGCCCACCAAGTACTGACGACTAACTTTAACAAAGAATGATCAAAATTTGGGAACATTACGAGCTTACTTATGTTTTTATTATTTTTGGGACTCCCGAAACCTCCGTAAATAATGTACTGAAGAGTTAATCCTCAATTTTCCAGACACCCGGTATATGGGAAAAAAGGGACTATATCGTAAAAAATCCAATACAGGTGTAGGATCGTTATTTAAGTTGTAGTGTTTCTTCATTAGTGTGTTGTGCTCGAAAATTCTGATATTTCGGACATTGGATTAAAATACGGTGAATATTAAGACAGCAATTACATTTTGAGGTTTTGAAATTTCAAAACAAAAACAAAAATTTTTTTCAAGAAGTAGTTCATTTAAGAAAATATTTGATTTACTGGCATACTCTTGAAAATTAACTACTTACCTACATACAATTACAAAAAAGTTAATATTGTGTTACAATACAAGATCCTTACAGACACCTCAGCTAAATTCATTTATAGTGTAGAGTAAATACGACTGTGTTAGGGGTTTGACGACTGGCAACCTTCGAAAGAACTTAGGTTCTTTAACTTTTAGGTCGTAAAACTTTATTGCAATATAAAAATAGTGGATTTACGTGCAATTTACAATCCACAGGTGAAATGCTCATGAGGGGAGGGTGAGGAAAGATAACTACCGAACGGAAGCGATTCCAAGAAATAATAAAGTGTTTCATTCAAAATAAACTCCATAAAAGTCTTTCACGCAAATAAACAAACACATGTAAATATTATTGTCTTGTGTTTTCATGCCTATTAACTACCCTGGTTTCATTATATTTGGAGTGACCTATGAATAACTTACTTCATTCTATTTTAGAATCACAATCTTGTCTATAAGCACCCAAATGCGGGCATAAATTGGCCTTTATAGCACAGATCAATCAAACATTGCTAAGTAAAGATTGATTGATCTTTTAAATCAATTACTTAAATTAGCTTAAATAAACGTTTTCCACTTCTTGAATTTGCATTTTGAAAAACGAATTGTTTCACAAATAAACAACGTGGTATCAATAACAACATTAAAGTAGCCAGCTATATATTAAAGTTCACACAATCTTGCCGGAAATACTCAATATTTCGTTAAAAATATTTTAGAAGCTAAAATAAAATATAACGTTATATGTACCACGGGCATAATTGTCGATTATGGCCCTCGGGAAATTAAAAGCCCTCCTACGTCCGGCTTTAAACATTCCCTCGCACCATAATCTTCAAATTATGCCCTTAATACGTAAGTAACTATTCTTCTTCTTCATTTTTCTAATGAAGAAGAAGAATTATTCTTTTTTTCCATTCTGACAAGGAAAATCCAAAAATTTTAAAGTGGCATATCAGAAAATCACAAACTTTAAGATTATATTAAGTATTTTCTTCTCTTTGAAGAAGATCAATGTGAATTTAATTAAATAACTCACCTTTAGTTTAATTTAATTCTCGTCACTTATAACACTGCAGAAGATATGTAAAATTTGTACAATATCATCTCAATCTACCAAAAATTTAGAACTGTTAGGTTGCTAATTGGATAAATAATATTCTTATTGTCATTTGTAGGTAAATTGGAATATAATAAGACATCAGGAAAGATTTATTAACATTTTCATATATTTGCGGAGATAATATATTACATTTTTATAATATTGAATCAGTTCTACGTAAACATCGATGTTATATTTTACAAGCGGTTAAAATTGTAAAATTATTAACACTGAATATTATTACTTATTGGTAATTTATTGATAAAGATGGCAAGCCAAATTGTTGAAAATTATTGTTTCCATAATATGCCCATCATTTTAATTATAACAGGTAGCTAATGCATAACTTATTGTTTAGTTATTGTAAAAATGTTAATCTAAATCCTTATCTGTTAGTAATATTGCATAGACATGATTAATGACTTTCCACAAAGTCAAATCTGCTTTCAAACTCAGTCTAGTTTTGTGTAATCACAAATTTACTTAAAACATACTTTTCTGAATTAAACTAAAAAATTAAATAAATATCATTTTATATAATAATTATTTACAAAAAGGTGAATATGAATCATTATTATCACTAACTATCAGTAAATTAAAAAATCGACGGAAATGTCAACTTTAATTAAGTAAAAATTAATGTCATAACTATAGTGCAAAAAGTATAAAAATGTTAGGTTAAACTTTGCAATATGTTGTGTTAAGTATAAATAAAATTATTCTAATTCAACTTACATAACTGAATGTCTGTAACGTAAAGATCTATTTTCCATTTTTTTTTTTTCTTTTATAAAACATTAAATATAGGGTGTATAAGGTGTTAGTAATAATAAAAATAAAAGTAGGCATTTAAAAATATATTTAACACGTTAAGCGCCAAAGCAGACACCGATGTCTGACCAATGAATTCCATAGGGAGCCAGAGCGGTCACCAGTGTCTGTTTCATATTTCTTACTTTGGGGCCACACAGACAAGTAATTAGGCATTATAGAGCGAATATGTGTCTGCCATGGCATGGGCACATTTGATCCCACAGTTGGTCTGTTGGTTGCATATTTCGGACTAATTTTACAGTGTGTCCGCTGTGGCCTCCTTTTTTGTCTGAATTTTTTGATATGTTACGGGGCCACGCCGAACACATTTAATTACATAACAAGGAAATGGCGTGTCCGCCGTAAACAAAGTGTCCGTTGTTGTGACCGCTGTGGGCTCTTCATAACTTAGAATTGTGTCTGCTCTATTAGACTGCTGTGGCCCAGTGATGTAAAAACAGCGTAAAATATAATGCAGGGCCACAGCAGACACAGGTGTCTGTTTTAGTTTTTTTGAAGAATTTGTGACAACATTTTCGAATTTCAACAAATAACCTGTCACTATATATAAAATTTTATGTAAAATACATACCTGCCAATCGCTCTATGACTGCGGTCTAGGACAATTCGGCGCGGCCGACTTGGCGCGGCCAACTTGGCGCGGCCGACTTGGCACGAGACATTTTGGCGCAGAGACACTTTGGCGCAAATGAACTCGCATCAAGAAAAATAGATATAAATATACAAAAATTGCACCCGTTGTCAGCATAACCTAATTTTTATAGTCTCCAAGGCGTGGAGGGGTAATGTCGACTTTTTAATGGACACATGGGCGCTTTGCGCCCTGCACCCCATTATAAACATACTCCTAAACGTGGAATTTCTTGCTCCGTGGATCATTTAGTTATTGGAATTTGTGCGGATGAAACTGTGTACTTGGTTACCTACACTTATCATAAATAACAGGGTGCCAACCACAGTACGAACAATAAATATTTTTTATATTATATACCGACGTACTCGCGCTAAGATGACTAGCGCCAAGATGGCTTGCGCCAAAGTGTCCCTGCGCCAAGTTGGCTTTGCGCCAAAATGGCTCGCGCCAAGTCGGCCGCGCCAAGTTGGCCGCGCCAAGTTGGCCGCGCCAAGTCGGCCGCGCCAAATAGTCCCATTCCGCTATGACTGTAACTGCATGATTTTGGCTTGGCGCTTAACGTCTTAAACATAAACTTAAAAACACAAAATCATTTTGTTATGACACTAATAATATTTTACATAATTAATATATATTAGTATATAAATATGGCATTGCATATTATATATAATATATATAATTATACTTTTTTCTTTTTACATTTCGTCAATTTTTTGTATAAGCAGCAGCCCAACAATAAAATTTTAAATTAGGATAAAATTTTATGATTTTGCATGCAACTTTTGAGGAGACGACGATGGCATCAAAATTTCTTGTGTTCGTAATCTCAAAGCTTCCAACGTAGACGGAGATAATCGGGATGGACTTGGAGTCTCTGGACTAGAACTTCTTGATCTTTCATTCGGTACGGGATTACTGGTATTAAGCAGATTCAGCTGTGGTACTGACCCCGCAAGAACATAGTGCTGGAGGAACGCGTGAAATGATGGTGCATTCATTGGTCCCTTTGGTGCCCAAGGCATCATTGTAGGATTAAACATGGGAGGAAATGGTAAACCGTGCCAAAATGGATCAGTGGGACCAACAGGAGGCATCGTTAAATGGTTTTGGAAAGAAAATTCTGGTAAGCCAGCTTGTTCACCAGGATGCATAAATGGCACGGCTTCCCTTCCCAATGCTTTTTCGCGTTTCCTCCATTTGGCACGTCGATTTTGAAACCACACCTGGAAACAACAAGAAGTTAGGTGTAAAGGGAATGTACAAATTTGGATAAACACACAACTGATGATAACTCAAACAAATAAACCAACTAGCTTGATTTAGTCCAAGAAGAGGACAGCGCAGCTGATGAAACGCGTCGACAGTGTGTTGAGAGTTTTCGGTGATGCGAGAAGAACATATTCAAGGTGGTGTCAATAATCCACTGATCATTAATAATAGTATATTACATAACAAAAAAGGTAAAGAGCCTATTACACACGACCTCGAAGTTTGCAGCCACGAGAGCAGCGAGTGGCGTAATTCGAGAGAGTGTGTAATAGGCTTATTACTCCTGTTGTGTACCATACTTTTTCTACGATCTCAGTTATAAATAAAAAAACAAAAAAATGGCTTATTAATATGTTTAATAAACACAATTTACAGTTAATTCAAAACTACAATTTTTCTTCACTTCTTCTAGTGTCAGTGTCTTGGATTTTTTAATTCTGAAGCTATCTGACAGTCTTTTCAAGAAAGCATGCAATTTCGGGTAGTTCTCAATATTCACATTATGCTTGATGTTTATGGTTGATCTTAGCATCACATAAATCGCCCAAAGGGATGACGATTTGTACTTCTACCCCAATGTCCCTACGCCAACTCTTAAATTTTTCATAAACCATCTCAGACTTCCCCTTCGATTTTTTAGGCAGAAGGTGGTTCACGGCGTCCAATGCTTGGTCAACAATTTGCGGCGAAGTACTTTCGAAATCACTCTCCGAATCGCTCATATTATAAGCAATAAAAGACACGATGGAAGTTAAATTCGTCACTTTCGACAAATTTTTATGACATCCCAGCAACTGCTATTCCTCTGTACAATTATGTAATTATATACAGGGTGTCTCAGAAATAAGTACATTAATTTTAATCAGTTATAGAGCTCCTCAAAATCAATAACTTTTTTTAATAGGGTTTTGTCAGAAACTTTTTAATTATCAAGTTAAAAATTGTTAAAGTTTTATCCCAATTAAGGGTACCCGCCCATGGATCCTCAGTCACCCATGGATACTCATAATTATTATAATTAATAATTTATGGTCAAAAACAGTTACTAGGATACGTATTTTTCTAATCATGTCAGCATGACAAACATTTAGAAAGAAATTGAAAGTGCTGCTCCCTAATGGCGAACGGAATTTCATCGGCCCAAATGTGGATGTTGATTACACCTTCCCTCGTGTATTCGGCCTCATCAGTTGATGGTACAAAAGATACAAAATTTGCTTGTTGGTTTATTTTTCTATTAACCCACTCACAAAAGTTTTACCTACGTGGTAAGTCTCTTGGTTTCAATAACTGAACTTTCTTGTCCTGAAAGGGATACTGTTGTTCTCCGAATATCCTCCAAATATTACTCTGCGATACATCATACTGGACACTGATGCGTCCTAGTGCCCGGTCGAGGTTCGACTCTCTCCAGAACAGCCACTTCCATATTAGCAATTCTATTACTACGTAACTTACCCCGATCCTGAGCTGCAAGTTTAAAAGATCCGTACTCTCGAAGATGCTGAAACGCTCTTAAAAGTGCGCACGTTTGGCAGACGAAGATTTGGGAGGTTTTCTGAAAAAATTCTTTGGGCGCGAGCACTGTTTCCCTGAGCCTCACCGTAGGTTAACAACGATATCGGTGTATTCAAGATTTGAAAACACTGCCATTTCGACACATTTCGTCTATAAATTAGAAATCTGTGCCAAACAACTTTAAAGAGACGACGTTTAGCTTGCACTTGACATAAAAATGATTGTCAGTGTCAAAACGGTTGCTAGGGTATCTTCTTTATTGTTGTAGTGTTGATATTATTTAAGGTGAACATAGACGGCTCGTGAATATAATATGGGTGGGAAAATTCTAAATTCGACTTGAGTTTTCGAAAAAATGCTATATAAAAAGTTGTTCCCTTTCACGAGTTATGTCACTGGTTAAAATTAATGTACTTATTTTTTAGACACCCTGTATATTACCCACTGGTCATGACCCACTTGTGTGGGTAATGATGGATTTACTTTAAAGGATACCCGTTTGTAATTCATCGATTACTATAAGAGAAGTACAAAAATAAATTTTATAACTGATGATACGAAGAAAAGTACAAGTGTTTAGGTAAAATATGGTCACATTTTTATCAAAAATGTACTGATTCCAATATTTTTAAGTCATGAACGCACATTAAAAACAAATTTTGCTTTTAAATATTCATATGAAAATAAACTTATTTGGATACAGCAGAACAATATTTCATGTTATCAAAAAAGTTTGGTAACACGCATCAGAAATACCCTCTTTTCTCAGTTCGTAGAAGGATAAATCTGCATTAGATTATTCAATCCAAAATCGTTAATGCCAGGATAATGACCATCATGAATTGCATCTTAATTGGTAACAATTTGGATAATTAATCTGGCTTGTAACAGCGTAAGTAGCGTCGCAATTGGGCATTGTTCGCCACAATAGAGGTAATCGGAACCGGTTCCGGACCCCAGAATTCTCTCTGATGTCTCATTTAAAGTGCCTGCTCGCTTCATAGATAAAATGATGGAAAGCTGTGCCTCTTCTAATTGCCCTTTTAGCCATGCTTCTATCAAGCTCCGACAAATTCATTTTTTCCATTGCATTGTAGTATATGCTTCAATTAATTTTTTTGTCGGAGTAATTACAAATGCGAGGCCCCGAAACAAAGAAAATAATTTGATAATTGCTCTATTAAGCCGAGAACGCCTCTTCTAAAATTCGTGCACGGTGTCACGGTGCATTTTTAATTTAACAATTAAGTTGTTAAGATTTGTTTCCATTTTAAATCAACGAACAAAAAAGTCATAATTTTCCAGGCAAAAATAAAACATTTCCTTAATTAATAGATAAAATTAGTTGATTACTTAATGAATAAATAATGTTTATGGATTACCTGACAAGATTATAATTGATACGGAGTAAATTAACTAGAACATTATTTAATTAACTTGTTTTTATGAAATCTTCCATTATTGGTACAATATGAATTATATTTTGTTTATCGGTAGTGGAAATTTCTAACAGACGCAAGTAAATTTAATTGTTTATCAATTAACCAACCTTATTTAGTTTCCACTTAAGTGGGTCTGACTTTAATCTATCATATTAGATTTTGGTTTTAACAAAATATAAATATTTTTAATTCAAATTTCTTAACTAATATCTCCTATAAAAATTAATCAATTACTTATTGTATGTACGTACTTGAACCCTTGCTTCACTGAGATCTAATCTCATCGCTAGTTCTTCTCTCGTGAAGACATCCGGGTACTGGGTCTTCTCAAAAGCTCTTTCGAGCTGATGCAGTTGATAGGTGGTGAACGTCGTCCGCGATCTTCGAATCTTCCGTGGCCTAGAGTCGCTCATATCTTCAATGGATTCCTCAACGATTTCGCCATCGCTGACAGAATCCACTTTAGAGTCCGACTCTCCTGAAAACAAAGAAAAACCACTTCAAACCCGGTTGAAATTCATAATTCACATTAAAATAACGCTTTGAAAATAGAGCCGCTTTTACGAATTTCCAGATATGTTCGAGGCTCTCGTATTTTACTTGTTCATTATCTCCGTATTTACATATTTTGATGCGGTCAAAATACGTATTCCAATAAGATTATACTCGTAATTTAAACATGTTTAACCGAACGAATCGGCGATGCTCTTTTGTTGGTGTATTCCCGAGCCAACTTTGGCTTGATGCTCGTGAAATTGGTATTCATAGTGGTGCCTTGTGTGTTTAAAAGCTTTGACATGTCCAGCCGGCGTATAGATTTATTTATGCAAATTGAATACTAATCTACTATATGAACTCTAACGTGTATTACGTCGTTATTAATTTACCATTTTGACTGAAATTTAATAGTTGTGTTAAAGTACACGAGCTGGTAAGAAGATTATGTTACGGCATAACAAATTCTTTGTTGAAAACGTTTTTGAAAAGTTTTGCACAAGACTTAATCAAACATTTGAGAAAGGATCAGCTTTATTTGCAACGAGGGGTATTTAAATGCACAGGTAACTCAAGTTCCCCCTATTATCCCACTCGATTACGACTTTATTTCGTCAATCGTGATTCACCCCTATTTTAATTTAGCTTCGTTTATCCCTCATTAAAATCTATACTGATGCTATCATGTGAAAAAGCCGGATATAAAATTAATTGTTAGGTTTTAGGTCACGAATTAAGTAGCCTGATATGTGCTTCAACGGTCCATCATAACCTAAAGCATGATAGACTAGTAGCAATCGTAACACTATCATTTGGTGTATAATTTTCTATTAGTTTCTGTGGTAGCAGGAATATTATAAAAGCAGATTTTCGATAAACCACTGATACAATTTACTAAAAATTGTATGTTTACACATTATTGTTAAACATAAAATAATGTAGAACAAATGGATTAAAGGATCAAGATTAGCTCCTATAAAATTAACCCCAGTGAGATATAGTTTTGATGAGTAAAATTAAATTGAACAATTTAATGAGAAGCTAAAACTTTTTCGGTTTCATATGTGATAATAAACTATCAAGTTATAGTTTTTAAACTTATAGCAGTTTAATTAAAAAATGTCATATTCAAAGTGCATTTTATAATTTAGAAGCTTACTTCCAAAATATATATGTCCGAAGTAAATGCAATGTATTCTCCTTTGGTATATTCAGCTATATTGTGAATAACAAGTGTAAATTTATTTTGTATATCCGAACACAATAAATATTATTATTATTGTTATTATTCATTCATATACAGTTGAACTGACCAAAGGAATAACTGACAGATTTTGTCAAATATAAACCCTGAAGTCAAAAAACAATAAAACACTAGCTTCCGTAATAAGAACATAAAAATGATCTTTGGTACATTTTATTATACAGGGTGCTTCAAAAATGGCGCACTAACTTAACGGTACCATAATAAATTCACATGTCTAAGTTCGAGAAATTTGACGTTCATTTATAAAAACAAAATATCGATTTAGGCAGATAGATTAAAAAAGTAAAAAATTAGCCAGTGTTGTCAAATTTATTCTGAACAATTTTCACGTTTGTAATATTATAAAGTGAAGAAAAAATAAAGATAAAGACATTCCAAAATTATTTTGAATAATGAAAGTCCGGTAGAATTAAAATGTGGTCAAATACCTAACAGAAAAATTAAACTTTTAAGGGCTATGTCTTCTACATTTGGTACAAAGATTTTTAAAATTAGTTTTTCTTTGCTCAATAAACAGTCCTTAACAACGTGTCATAGAGTAATCACCCTGTATGTTACAAAAAATGCCATGCAGGTGAGGTCAACAGGACGGCCTCAAGTTGGTGTTAGACGTGCAAGCTCTTTTTGTCTTCCTCAGTTGTGTATAGTAGGCTAAGAAAAAAACAGTTTGCTTTTCCAATGTCAACTTGCGGACGTTTTTTAATATAATAGGTCAAAAAACATAATTATATAAGTGACAATATTCCTACTGTTAGGCCAAAAAAATATATAGTAATATAATTTATTATGAGGAACTTGCAGTCGGTTATTTTGACACTATTTCGGAAAATTGTATATATTATGTATCACTTTTTGAATGAGAATGTGTTTATCAAAAATTTGAAAATTTCCACTAATCAGTAGTATGTTAAAATATCGCCGATAATTATAACAAATTTTTCACAAAAATTACTTGTTTTTGGCGTTTATGGTAATGCTCATTTTGTTCTACTGCATTTGAATAAAGATAGTGAAGTCTATTTTCATATAGTGTACATAAAACTGTTTTTTCTAATTAGGCAGCCTCAAATTAATGAAAATAATATTATAAAATATCCACGTAGTCATTCTAATTATTGGAAAATAAAACTGCTAATTTTTCCTGCCCAGTAAAGTCTAGAAGGAAATAAGTATGAAATTCTCAATTGATTTTCCTCATTCTTTGAACACAATAAAAAAATGTGTCACTACTCCAAATTCATAAATAACTAACAGCTCTGCGTTTGAACTACAGGGCTGACTTTTTATTACTAAACAACACACTATTTGTGCGGCCCGCAAAAACAACATATTTTGTAAACAAAAAATTCGACAATCAGCAAATATGGGAAAAAATAAGTATCCATGGTAATAAATTCAAGTTTTTTCTTAAATGTAAAACCCAAAAGAAACAACTAAATTTGATAAGACAAATTAACCTAACAATATGTAAATCATCTTTGTTCTTAGTAATAAATAAAAAATATATATTTAATTTTTCTATTTTATTTATTTCTTGCAACCGGAAGTAACGTTGCATATGTTTACGAATTCAAAAAACAAACGAAAATCAATTTACCGCTTCATTAATTTTCTCCTCAACTTGTAGCCAATTGATTTATTATTGGAACTCGAAGAACACGTGTTGGAAAGGGTCAGTATGAAAAGGGTAAAACCCTAACTTCACTCCCCACGTAGTCTAATTATCTCCCTAATTACATTGTGTCTATCAGATTGTCTGTGACACACTATTAATCATTTTTGTTTTTACTTTTTTTTCCTCGAACACGCAAGCACACATATACTTTTCACAATTCAAATATTTACAAAATTTTGATAAAGCATGCATGAACTTTAATATGAAATAAAAAATAATAAATACCTTCAGCACTCTTCGTCGATGTCGATGACGAGCTATTTACTCCCAATATCTGGTCGATGCTGTAGACAGCCCTCGGACGAATTTCGTCCTGACTTTGCGACATGTCAACAGACTAGCACTAGTGAATGAGTAACGATAACAGCACGTCTTTCGATGTGAACAGTGAAGAACTTGTTTCTCGACTGACTATTTCAACCACTTGTGAAGGGTATAAATTGGGGGTTCAAGCATAACCCTCCCTCAATTTTCCTCCAATCAGAAAATTAATTCGTGAGTGACTCGGTGTCCGCATGCGCACAATATCTGTAACCACGCCGACTAGATTGTGTTCAAATTAAGATATGGTTTTATTATGTTAAATGTTAATGAAATAGATTATGCTATGAATATTCAATATTCCAAATAAGATTAACGTTTTGAGAAATAATCAGGTGTTTTATTATTGCATTACGGACGTAATATTATTTTAATTTTGTTTGAGTATTTTATTTATTAGGGTACTATTAATAACGATAACAGTCAATTTTATGGAAAATATCACTCCCTTGATTACTTTTTTGAGTTATTTACTATTTTTGTCAGATTATTTTTTTAACGACCGATTAGGTACACATAAATTCTACACGGATGCGCAACATTTCAAATAATGTATTTGAAGGCTTGTTAAAAATTTAGACAAATTATGTATCTAGTTTTAACCACAGTTGTATTATCTATTTGCCTTCCAGCGGATTTTAATAGTTTGTTAATAAGTAATAACCGCATTTTATCGATTTCTCACCCTCAAGCTAACACTACTTATAACTTAACGTCATTCATCTAACACCTTGTGTTAAAATTTAAATTGTTTTATCTACAAACTACTACAACATAAAAAATGCTATAAAAGTTTTTAATTTTTTCAAAAATTTCGTGTGTTACAAACACTTGTGTAAATTATTTCGATATTCTTACTTGTAAATATATATAAATTCGTACTACAAAAATTTTACTGGATATTTTTAAGCACTGTATCTTATTTTACAATAATAAACTATTGAATTAATCTAACATTTTAAATATCCTCATGTAAAGCAAATTTTGCAAATGCGAAAAAAATTATCCGAAACAGTTCTACAAAGAATAAACATTTTTAGTAAATTAATATTTTCTTCAATACATTTTAAGTTTGGAGAACTTCCATAAATTCATATTTTTTATTAATATTCCGGTAATTTGTTTTCGGGTGTAACGGTGAGAGAATAAAACAATAAAAACGTTTTTATGGATTGAAACATTCATATTTGGTTTAGTTTATTCAATAAAAAAGCAGAATACGATACCAGTTTATTATTAACCCAAATAATAGGTAATATTTTAATGACTTCAATTTTAAAATTTTAATAGTCCATGAATAATTGAGTTTTAAGCTCTTGTAATCATCAGTTTTGTTACGTACAAAAAATTTTTTCCCATAAAGAATTAGCAAATAGGTACTTGTAAAGCGTATATTGTGCATTAAACAGTAAATTCTTTCATAAATATTGTTTTAGTATTGTAATTACAAATTGCTAAATGTGCGTGTTATTAAAATCCAAATGCTGTAGGACATTTTTTTGAAAATGTCCTTTAGTAACATAAAAATATTAAACTGACCTTTTTTACATTACCTGTCACGGAAATCATCATTATCATTAAGCTGTACGTCGGTGATTAAATTTAGATAAATTTGCAATAAATCCTCCTTAATTGTCATCGTTTACGATGTTTAGGGTGGTTAAACCTTCCGACAATATTCTTAAAATTATGTATAAACATAAACAGATGAAATTTAAACTGAATTTTTACATATACCGCTCAAGGAAAATATATCTTTAAGTCAGAAGTATTAGTGCTAATAAGTAATATTTAGAAGATTTGGATAATTTGCAGTAAATCTCCGTTAAATGTTATTGTTGAATGTGTAAAGGTGGTTAAAAGCTTAGAAAGTTTTTCCGAACTAGGTGCACACATAAACCGATCAAATTTGCAGCACACTGTACTTTATTTAACTATTGACTGCTGACGAATTTCTGTATTTTAAAAAATATTTATTATCAGTCATTTATAATTTGAAAAACACTTATTTCCACATAGACCTGCAATCGTTATGATTAGAGAGCGGAAAATATGCAGCAAAATTTTGGGAAATATGATCATATGATACGCATCAAATTTATGCAAATATGCAGTAACTTTCTTAATATATGCAATAACAATTTATTTTTAAATATTTTTCGAAATATACTAACAAAAAATTTTTCGGGTGATTCTAAAGTATGTACCTATTTGTTAATAGAAAAACTGTATACTACGTCCACAGGTGTAAAAATACTTGCCGGTTTAGAATAGGCGCGAAAAAACACAGTTCCTTCTTGAAGAATAAGTTCAGGAAAAGGTTTAATCCATAAATTAATTTGAGTTATCTTCGATATATTGACACACCTGGATCGCTTTAAATGCTTTCAATGCAAACTCACGATGAAAAATAATAGGATAACGTCCCTTTGACCACCATAAAACATTCCATTAAAACACTTAAGTAACGAACAAAAATATTGGGAATGAACGGTATTTCCAAGAGTAATTAGGGTCCGATTTTACCTCCAAACTATCATAAAACCCAAACCTTTCCTAGTTAGTTGAAGCTCAGGACAATATTTGCAATAGAAAGATTCATGAAATATCGGCTTTCTGGATAAATGCCCATAGAATGACAATCATTTTTTTTTTCAAACAAAAATTGATAAAAATGCGACCCAACAGTATGAGCAAAAATTTTTTAAAATAAGTGAGGTTTACTTGACCACGTGTCTCCTACTGCATATTTTAAAATAAAATCTAGTCTTCAGTGAAGGTTGTTTTTTAAACCGAATCTGTAAAACTGTGCCCATTTCAAAGCCTTAACAAAATCATAAAGTTACTGCTTAAAGTTCTGGGACTAAATATTTTCTAGTCTGAGAAGACGAAGTGATTCTAGAAAACGTCGAAAGTGTGGCTCCTCGACACTTCGTAAGTAGGCATCACGTATCCTATAACCGCCACAAATGTTGTTCTCATTATGTAGGTATAGTTATGTTCAAAAATGTCTACAAAAACCACTTTTGGCGTTACGAAATTGTATTCACAACCTAAATAAAATATATAACCAGAATCAAAAAATGTACTAAAAATAGTGGATGATATTGGTTCTTAATGTAAGATCATATAAACATTGTACTTATTTTTTTCAACATTTTTAAATACTTCATTGTTCCAAAATAAGAGTGAATTCGCCCGTTGGCACTGGGCCACCTGGACAAGTACACAATTGAAGTTTGTTTACCATTGTCATGCGGCCATGCTACTTAGAGAAAAAGGCTATTCCTAATCCTCCTTAGAAGAACGACCGTCTAATGACCACTTAAACACTACCTTTGTCAATTCACAGGTAAGCGATTTATTTTTGAAGTAAATACCACACTTATTCCTCTGTATTTTATTAACACGTAAAAAGAAAAAATATTTCAAGGATCTTGAAATAATTTGTCAAGGAAAAAATTAACTGTACTTAATAAATATGCTCAGTTCTCCACTACATAGTGTATTTACTTTCCCGATGTAATTATAAATTGAAATACTGTTCATTAAACGAAATTCGCCAAGTTTATCCACAAAACGAAAACGATCACTTTAGTTTACTTTGTAACTAACTAGAAAACTCTATCTGTTGTAAAGTTTAAATTAAAATGTTTCGTTCGAATTAAATTAGAATTACAAGAATTTCACACTTCACTACAAATAACCTTATTAAAAAACACCTTAGAAAGATGACATTTAGTGAAATATTTAGTATCCATCAACTCTATTTTTTAAAAGAAGAAATTAATGAAAAGTTTCATATATAAATAGATGATACAGATGTAAACAAAAATCGAAATAATATACTAAACCGTAATTACTTAAAACAAGGACTTTAAACCAATATTTGGAAATAATATTCGAAGTTATAGTTACGGGAAAAGAAATGTTGAAATGAAAACTAGCTGAAGAAGATACTCTCTGAATTTAAATAATAACTTATGTACGCAAAGTACGATAAACTAAAATATACAATACCAGTGATTTTGCCAGATTAGATAACTGTACCGATTTTCGTTACACTAATTTTTGAGTGTTTAATATTACAATATTACATTTAAAATATCTCATTAAATGTATACGTATACTTAATACTATAATACTAAACGCAGCGAGACGTTTGCTCAGAACACTTTTCTTTACATATAGTGAAGAAATATATCTTCAATAGTTTACCAACTGCTTATTGAATAGATACACATTGTAAACGTATTTTAATGAAAATTATTTGATTTGTTTCTGAAATTCTTATTTATTTTAAAGTACCATATTTTTGAAGATAAATTATTGAAAATTATTATACTAAGCTACCTAACTCAAAATATTAATTTCAAACAAAAATATGCAGTAAAAAAAAAATACGAGTATCACTTGACTTACTTAAAATTAAGGTACCTAAACCAAATATTGCCACCTTAGGGTACAACATTTTTTAGTAAATTAAGTTTTAGAATCTGAAAATAAAATTGAAATTGAAAAAAAATGTTAACAGTGGTGATTTTTGGACGTTTTTATAAATTTATGTTGATGACAATGTTCGGAACATAGTAGTATTCCAAATATTGCAGTATTCTAATTTGCTATATAAAATAAAATTAAGTCTTTTAATTTAGTTATAAACAATTTGTACTCTTTATCGAATAATAAAATAATAATAATAATAAAGAAATTTTCATTTGTCCCTGTTTTGAGTAATTTAATAATATTTTTAATTAATTAAACGCAGTTGTATTGCTTTTATATACAGAGAGATCGAAAAAGAAATTGCAAAGTTGGCCATGCACGAAAAGCCGTTTGTCTTAATTTAAAATATTTTTTTATTAAACGTCACGTTGACAAAAGTCATTTTCAGAACTCTTGGTGGCTGCGTACGAAAATTTTGTTTTTGTGCTAGGAAGCGAAGACTGTGAAAATGGTTTATTATGTTGAACAAGACACTTTCATCGTTATGTCTTGTTATCGCAATGGGATTTCGTAAACGAAGAGTGTTTGTATTCTGTAACGACTTGTAATCAAGAATATCT